AAAAAAGACTTGGTATAAAGCAACTGAATCAAGATACTGGGATTTGGGCAAAAGGATAAACAAATATATTAATTGAATAAAGTAGAGAATTCAGAAACAGACACACACAAATGCGGTCGAGTGATTTTTTTTAAACAGGTACAAAGGCAATTTAAAGAAAATGGCACAGTGTTTTCAACTAATGGTATCAGAACAAGTAGACATCTATATTAACCATGTTTTAAATTTTCTSTATTGTATGATATTTTGATGTCTCAAAAAAAAGAAAAGAATACTGGCCAGGGAGAAACTGCCCTCCTTGGGCTAGACAACTCTTAAAATAGCCAGGGGCTCAGCTGGGATCACATACTTCACACATAAACCAAGAARTCCCAAATTTGTAGCCCAATCAACTCCCGATCTAACTCTTACCTTAAGYCAACTATTTCCTCTGACCCTGTATCATCCCAAGGTCAGATAACAAGAAACTAGAGACCATTCCTGTGTCCCAAAGCCCACCGGAATTATTCAAACTAGCCAATTCTAAACTGTTATTTTACCCACTTTGCCTCTCCTGAGGAAACCCCAATAAAGATTCTAACTCAGCTTTCCTTTCACTCCTGMATCTGCCTGCCAAACCTGCTATGATAAATCGTCTTCTCAGAAAATGTAAGCAATAAATTCTTATATCAATGGCATTGACCTCTCTGTGTTGGTACTTAATCACTTCTGTAAGTTAAAATTCTACAGGTATAATTTTAATATAAAACCTATATGCTAAAAATCAAACCTCAATCTTTACCTCTTATGAAAATAGAAAGGAAATCAGTGGAGAAAGGGGGTCAGGGGAAGGGAAGAGAGAAGGGAAAAGGTAATTAGTAGGGAACAATATTGCCAAATTATTTTATTATACTGTATGCATCTCTGAATATGCAACCACAAAGCCCACCATATGTACAGTTATAAAGCTCCAATTTAAAAAATGAAAAAGTAACTCAATTGGATCATGTATATAAATGAAAAATTATACAACTTTGTCAGGAACCATGGTGTATGTCTGYAATCCCAGCAACTCAGGAGGCTCAGACAGGAGGAGCCTTGCAAGTTTGAGGCTAGCCTCAGTAACTTAGTGAGATCCCTGTTTCAAAATAAAAAGACTGGGAATGTAGCTCAGTGGTAAAGAGCCCCTGGGTTTAATCCACAGTTCAAATAAATAAATAATAAAACTTTCAGGAGAAAACTTTGTGACCTTGGGTTAGATGAAGGAAGTATCCTTATCCTTAGATATAACATCAAAAACATGACCCATAAAAGAAGAAAATAATAAGCTAGACTCCATACAAATTAAAACATTTTGCTCTTTGAAAGAGAAGCTGTAAATGGGAGAAACTGCATGCAAGCTCAACAAGAAGAAAACAAACAACTTGACAAAAAATTAAAGATAGGCAAAATACAGATTACAAATAAGCCCTTTAAAAATTTTTAATTTCAGGATASGAATAATATATAGAGTGCTTGCCTCGCATACACAAGGCCCTGGTTCAATTCCCAGAACCACAGAAAAAAAAATTAATATCATTAGTCATTCTGGAAASAAATTGAAGCCACAATTAGATAACCCTACCCTTCTATTAGAACACTTTAAAAATTTTTTTTAAAAAAGGAAGTGAAAAATGTCAAGGACACAGAATAACTGAAAATCTTATGTACCACTGGATTATAGCCACTCTGGAAAATAGTTTGGCAGCTCTTATTAAATTAAACATGCATTTAGCATACCAACCCACTCCTAGGTTATTTAAAATAAAGAAAACATAGTCATCAAAAACCTGTATATAAATATTCTTGTAACTCTATTCATAATTACCCCAAACTAGAAACAACATAAATGTCCAACTGGTAAATTGAAAAACACTGTGGTATAGTCATATAATGGACTACCACTCAGCAATACAAAGTAATGGACTACTGATACATGAATAACATTGATGAATCTCAAAGGCATTAGGCTGTGCAAAAACCTATTTCCAAAGGTTACCTACTATATGATTACATTTATATAACATTCTGGAAGACATGATAGTAATGAGATGGCCAGAGGTTAGGGCAAGGTGGAGAGTTTGAGTAAAAAGGTATAGCATGAAATAACTTTTTTTCTGGCACTGGGGATTGAACCCACCAGGATCTTTCTTGAACATGCAAGGCAGAGATTCTATCACTGAGCTATATACTTTCTAAGCCCATTTATTTTGAGTTAGGTTCTCATTAAGTTGCCCAGGCTAGCCTTGAGCTTGGAGATCCTCCTGGCTCAGCCTTCTGAGTTGCTGGTATGGCAAGTGTATGTGTGTGTGTGTGTGTGTGTGTGTGTGTGTGTGTGTGTGTGTGTGTGTGTGTGTTTTAAACTGGGGATTGAAACCAGGAGCACTTTACCACTGAGCTACATCACCAGCCTTTTTATTTTGAGACAGGGTCTCAATAAGTTGCTTAGGACCTCGATAAGTTGCCCAGGTTGGCCTTGAACTTGCTATCCTTCTGCCTCAGCCTCCTGAGTCACTGGGATTACAGTTACACAATACAGTGCCCAGCAAAATAATATCTTTGAAGTGATGAAATTGTTTCAAATCTTGACCATGGTGATGATTACACAAATTTATATGTATGTTAAAACCTATAAACTGTATATCAAGAAAGTTTTGGATATGTAAATATTTTACMAAAAAAACATTTTAAAGAGGTAATGAAAACAAATGCAGCCTGAATGCTTTGTCTTCAAATATGTCACTGGGTTCAATTTTAATATTTAGTTTACTCAAATTTTGAAGAATAGATCTCTCTTCTGTCACTCAGCTGACAGAAGTTGCAAGGTAAAATCAAATTTATCAACCAAGGCAAAAAGACAATTATTTAGAGGCAATTTCAAACTCTCACAGTTCAGTTTTAACCAAGCGAATCATGAATCTAGGGGACATGGAAGGGAGACAGATCAAAAATAAATCAAACTATGTCACTAATGAAAATTGAAAGCCAATCTTCAAATATGTTCTATTCTCAAATCATAAGAATCAACTTATCAGGCATCCCTCTCCCTTCTGCAGATAAGAAAACTTTTTTCTCCCCTCTTGCCTTCAAAAATACTGAAGAAATCACTTACAGCTTTAAGGAYAAGATCACACTGGAAAACAAGTGTCCTGAGTTGTGTTAAAATTTCTCTTTTGGTGTTTTCTAGATCATTTTGTCTTTTTTCAACATTTGTTACACAAACTTTGTAGAGTTCATTTGCTGCTTTTACCTTCAGGAATATCAGAGAAAAAAGCAAAAAATAACACTGATCACCAGAATTTATATTTTAAAATATATACTTATTRTAGAAAAGTTGAATTTAAATAACTGAGAAGCCTTTTATTCATGAAAAATTTGAAACAGTCTATCTATATTTTAAATGGAATACTTCTAAATATAACAAATAATAATCATTCTGGTGAGTGACTCAAGTGTACTTGGCTTTAATGAATATTTAAGCATAATTTACAATTAGTATATTGTCTGTCTATAAAGTGATCACTTCTATTTAAAATAGTGTTTTCTAAATTTATTTACTGTTTATCTCACATAATTTGTTTATCAAACTATATTTCACAAATAAAACAAAATTTTAGTTTATACTTGCTAGTAGGTGCTGGAATTAGAACACATATAATATACACACTTCCCTAAAAGGTGAACTTTCTGAAAAATCAAGTAAAATATATTAAACTACTGCTTTAAAATACTTTTTTACAAATAAACCCCCAAATTCTTAAGTCTCTTAGCATAGTCATTCTCAAAGTGTGGATCTCCACCAGCATCACTGGGGAACTTGTTAGAAATAGGTTATTTGGGTCTCACCCTTGATCTACTCAATCCTCAACTTTAAGGTGGGCCAAGCAGGTTGCTTGAATAAGCCTCCTAGATAATCCCAACATATATTACAAGTTTAAACTCAAACCCTTTGCATATTATTGCTAATTGAGCTTTCAAATAACAAAAAAATATATTACTTTTTGAAGTGCTTCTGCTTCCAACCTTCGATTTTTTTCTAGTTGCTTGTTGGGATTTTTTGCTAATCCACCACATGTGCATTGATGCTCCTTCTCTGCACAAAACACAGAATATTTTGCTTTTTCATATTCATCTTGACGTTGCATGCATAACAATTTTGCCTTTTTGAGAGCAGTTTCTGTTTTGAGCTATACAGAAAAGAGTATATTAAACATATAATTTGAAAGAAACCCTACTATACAAGTTTCTTTAGCAATTCAGGAAGACAGTTAAGCAGTACTTTAGAAAACTAGAGTAAGGTTAATGGTTATATAATATAGATGATTTTTAGATGCTCACAAATAGGTACATGAAACTCCAGTAAAATACTAACCATTTTATTTTGTTCCTGTTTCCAAAGTTCCTTTATTTCTTTCCTTTGCTTTTCTATTTTATTTTTCCTCCCCAGTAGAGGCTGTCAA